AATAATAAGGGTATTTTGATCATTTCACGTCTCTATTCTTCTTCCCAGGCGAGTCCATCCCTTCCTCTTCCGTTTTCTGTAAATGCAATGAACTAAGATGATGGGGAAAGGAGGCTTGATGATATTAAAGATAGGGTTTAGAGGGAGAAAGAACGCCGGAAACGGGAGAGAAAGAGATGGACTCGCCGGAAACGGGAAAGAAAAGAGGCGTGAAATGACTAAAATACCCTCATTATTTTAACTATTAAAATTTTCCGGCGAAATTTGGCCGGAGTGACGAAAATTGACAAAAATTGCATAGTTAAGGTACTAAATTGACACTTTTGAAAGTCAGGGACTGAAATTAACAAGACCCCTATAGTCATATAACCAAAATTGAAATTTCCTCAAATTTGTTACATTCAAATTCATCAATTGATTATATTCGCTACATTGTCCCTACAATGTCTTTAGTAAAAAAAATTATTCATTATCAATAAATTAATTAAGAGAAATAATTTTATTAGTTATATTGTCTTTATATTTCTTCAATGTAAAAATTCTTTACATTTAAATTCATCAATTGATTATATTCACTACATTGTCTATTATTTTTTTGTGCATTATTTTTTAATTAAATATCAAAGTTATAATACAAAATAATGATATATATTTATTTACCAAGTATTTTTATTAATACCATGAAAAAATTAAAAAAAATATAGATTATTAATAAAGTTAATCATATTAGCTATTTGAGGGATTTGTTAACAAAGAGAGTATTCAAATCACACAACAAATTGAAGTGAGAAGTTACCTCGCAATGTCATTATTTGACAATTATCAGTTAGCGATTAGCGTTAACAGATTATATTAGCGGATTTGACCAGCGGATTAAAATAACCTAGTAGTAGTAGTAGTTGAACGTCAAATTTCAAGAAAGTGAAATAATTAGGTAAACCGTAAACATAATGGTGCTTGAATTGGACCATGGATATATATTTCGTCAAATTTCAAGAAAGTGAAATAATTAGGTAAACCGTAAACATAATGGTGCTTGAATTGGACCATGCATATATATTTTAATGTAGATATTACAAAGGTGGAAAATCAAAATCATCAAATTCAACCCAAAGTAAAAACGTGGATGCAGCCGTTGACCAGATGCAGCAACCAGTCTAGTCGGTCTTCTTTTCTTTGCTGCATGCGCTGCTTCAGGGAAACAAGCCTAATAAGAAAGAAGAAAAGTCCAAGAGAGCAAGTCTACTTGAGTTACAGCACATGCTTTAGAGTCCAATCTTGAGAGCTGATCGGATTTTTAAAGTAGTGTCAAAGTCATTCCATTTTCATTATTTTCTTTAGGGAAAATGATCAAATACACCATTCAACTTTAAGTAAGAAGTCAATTAAGCTCTCAAACTTTTGCAAGTTGCAATTAGAACATTAACATATATATTTAGTGCATCAAGGCCCAAAGCCTTAATAGTGACCTGCAATAGCAGGTCAATAATGCTCCGGGGACTTTTCGGCGACAGGTCGCCGGAACGCCACCCTCAACCACCGCCCCTCCTCCCTTCGCAACATCCGCTGGCGGTCTCTAAATTATTCGCCTTCAACATTCTGCCAAGCTATGCCCAAACCTACTGTATATATCTAGAACAGAATTTAGGAACAAATTAATATTCTATCTTTTGCGAAAATACCTTCCATTCCTCATCGGTGGCGACCTTCGATTTGTAGCTGAATACCGCCACTAGCTTCCCCATCGGCGCACAAATTTGCCTCAAGATTTGGAGATCAAACTAGTAAAGAAGCCATGGAAGCAGCAGCCACACCGTCGCAATTGGCAAATCACGACGCGCATTCCATGCCGGCAACCATCTGGTAAATCAAACACTCCTAATCACCTCCAATGGCGGCCTCTCCTGCAAAAACTTACCAATCAAGGTAAATTTCTCATCCTCTTCAGCCAATTTTCTCCAATCCTCCTTCGTAATTTGTATAATAGGTTTGCCTTGACGCAATTGTTCTTGAGTTTTTTTTTTGTATTTCTTGGAATTGCTTAATTTCTTTGTTGATCTGAAATTGCTTGATTTCTCTGTTGATCTTGAACCCCTGGAATGATGTTGTGATTAATTGTTGTTTTCTGTTACCGGTTTTGCACTACATCCGCGAACATGTGAGTGATTGTTGCCGGAAGTATCCGGCTCAGACTGAATAACCAGCGATGATTATTGCAAATTATGGATCCTACGATGGGAGGAGGGGCGGTGATTGAAGGTGGCGTTCCGGTGACCTGCTGGTCACGTTTTTGCCGGAAAGTCGTTGGAGCTCGGCCGGAGCATTATTGACCTACTATTGCAGGTCACTATTAGAGTTTTGGGCCTTGATGTACTAAATGTATATGTTAATGTGTCTAATTGCAACTTTCAAAAGTTTGAGGGCTTAATTGACTTCTTACCTAAAGTTGGAGGGTTTATTTGACCATTTTCCCTTTTCTTTATAATTCAAGTTTCTCAATTTCAACATATTATATTCGGGTCTCATAAATCTGTCACAAGTCTATTTAACTCAAAATTGTACACTTCTATACACGAAGATTACATTCCAAACCCAAACTATCAATGCTTATGACAGTGGTCAAGCCCCACACTACCGCTAATTTCAAATCTTAAAATGAAACTTCTCACCCACTAAATTAATGCCTTGAGAGCTATTCCCATCATTTACTAACAAGCTTTCGATCCAATTAACAAAAAAACAAAAAAAAAAAAAAACAAACAAACAAAAAAAAAAAAACTCTTTATCATCAAGAGGCAATGTGTATCAATTGCCTTATACTAACGATTTTGAAACTCTAATAGAAATTAAAACGAGCAAATATCAATTTTGATTTCACGGATATTAGTAAAATGACAGTTTTGATTCATATGTTTAATTTCTTCCAATTTTTATCCACGATTATTTGTTTTGTATCAATTTACATCCACGAATATTGTTTAGTGTCAAAATTCATCACAACAATCACCCTCTGTTTAAGACATACCGAAATATAAAAATTTAAAAGATATTTTCATCCTTTTCAACTTAAAATCCCAATATGAGCATGAATAAATGGATTTTATCTCTAAGATCGATCGCAACTCGCAGTTCTTCTCCTCATCCTACCTTATTTTGAGGAGCAAAACTGTGAATTATGATCGATCTTATGGCTTAAATCTCTTTATTCATGATCAAATTGTGATCTTAATTTGAAAAGGACAAAAATACCTTTAATAATTTCATATTTCGGCATGTATATTAAACGAAATGGCAATCGATCATGTGATGAATTTTGGCACTAAGATAATAATCGTGAATGAAAATCGGTAAGAATTAAACATGTGGACTAAAATTGTCATTTTATTAATATTTGTAACATCAAAATTGAAATCTGCTTAAATTAAAACTTATGACTAAACAACATTGAATCAAGGGAGATGGACTGAATCGCTTAAACATACATCATCACTATAATACAATATTAAAAAAAAAAAAAAAAAAAAACTTATCACACTATGTACAAACTACTCTATAATTAAACATTTCCATTTTCAATTAAAAATCAGTAGTACATATATAGAGTATCAGTTATATTATTATTATTATATATAGTTGCTAATTCTTTCCCCTAGCTTATTGCAAGAAGCAAATAGTTAATTAATTGATTGGAACAAAACTGTTCATACAATATAATTAATTAATTGTGAACACATGCCACTATCTACAAAATTGGACATCGTGCCGGGTTCATAGGCAGAGAGGAGACAACCACACATTTTTTTAATAATAATAATAATAATAATAATAATAATAATAATAATAATAATAATAATAATAATAATAATAATAATTCTGATTACTTTTGAATTATTCACATTATAAATATTCTACATGCATTTTATTTGTCATATTAATACCTTTTCTATTCACTTATTTTTTCTTTTAACATCCTCTTATATATAATTTTGAAGTTGAGTTTATTTATTTATTTATTTTAATATAATTTATAAATATATCAATAAAATTAATTAATTTAAAGAATTAAATAATACATAATTTGAAAAATTCTCATTAGTTATGTTAATTATATATAATGAAGTTAATTAAGGTCACATCATTTAACTTTACAGTCATATTAACAATAACAATTCGCTTACAAATTGTTCTAAATTACTTTATTTTCCAATGTAATGAGAAAAAACATGTTTTCATTACCAAAAGTGTGTACCAAATTTATTTCTAATAACTTACATATCAATTAAATGACACTAGAAAATAAGTGTAATAAAGTTGATCGATCCATAACGGAAGGACAATGAAGTAATACTCGCATGGGCTTAGTTCAATGGTTTAATGGGCAGTATTTGAGACAAGAGACCAATGTTTGAACTTCAGCGGAGACTGTGAGAGAATTATGTCTAAAGTGAACAGATTTCTTGTGCGGATCGGTATTTGGCCCTGTCTACTAGGGTTAAAATAGAGATATTTGTGTAGGGAACGGGGAGGTGGAAGAAATGAAATGAAAGAAAAGTGGGTGGGGGTGGGGTAAGGGTTGTCCAGGGGAGAAGAACCTGGGCAAGGAAGGTGGGCCAAGTGGGGGAGTGTTTGGAAACATCATTCAAATTTGATTCCCAAGTAGCATGTCAGGTTGCCCCACTTGATAAGGAAATTCACTGAATCCAACCTTAATTCAGCAACATCCGATCCTATGTATATATACAGTTACGTTGCACATGATTATTACAAATACACTGTAACCACCCCAAATTCATCATATCAGATCCCTAAACCAAATCCTTCTCCCCATTCCAAACTAATATCCTTTTTCATCAACCACTATATACTCATCGATCACTCTTTCTTCAATATAATGCAATTGGGTTTGTTTTAATTTGTTCTCTCGTTCACTCTCAAGATTGGATTTTTATGAGAAGATAAGATCGATCAGAGCTAGCTGTTTCTTTGGATTCAATTCAATAATGGGTGCAAAGACGATGAGAGACGAGATGTATGGGTACTCTGCGGCGGAGAGTTTTGGGAGCAGGAAGAATTTGAATTTGAAGGAATACCAATGGCGGCGGGTATCGCAAGGAGGCGGCGGGGGGCATGCGAAAAGGGCGCGGTGGTTGAGTATGAAGTATTTCAGTTCAGAATCGTTTGTTCTGCTTGTGTGTCTGACGGCGTCGGTGCTGCTTCTGCCGTTGATCTTGCCGCCGTTGCCGCCGCCGCCGTTCATGCTGCTGCTGCTCCCTATTTGCATTCTGGTAGTTCTTGTCATTTTAGCTTTCTCCCCTTCTGCTGCTTCTAGTGGGCAGAGCATGAGTCATCCCTCCTATTTGTAGCTTAGCTGAGAGATGAGATCAGAGTTACCCTTAGCTTAACATATTTTTGTCTTGCTCTTGCATGTAATCATCAAACATTAATTATATTCAAAACCTATATATAACAGTTCAGATCAAATACATATATAGCTAGCTAATTCTAAAATTAAAGTATGATCCAGCTAGGTAAATGGATGTTTGTTATGCGTACTCTTTAATTTGCTCCATTTGGAAACCAACTACTTGTATTCTGGGCTAGCTAAATTGCTCCATTTGGAAACGAACTACTTGTATTCTGGGCTAGCTAGCTTAAATTAGCTTGTAGTACAGTTGTGTTGTCTATATATATGGTTAATTTTCACATTTAATTTGCAGGCTAGGGTGTAGGGTGTGGTTCATCAAGTCAGGATGAAAAGATTTCCCGCATCAAATTAAATACAATTAATTGCCTTAATTAGCTAGCTAACCTAGCTTTCAGTAATTCTCAGCTGGTTGATCCCCAGATCGACACACTTAAGCTAGGGCTGGAATGCATGGTTGCGAACGTAACCTACCTTCAAATCCACCCAAATTATATTAAAGAATATCTCAATCTATATTAAAGCAAAATAAAAGGAGCAAAAACTTCCCGCCCAACAGCAACGGCGCCGTTTGGAGGAATCCGAAATATTTATTGTGTTTGCTTCAGAAAACGAAAGGTCTATAATACGTAAAGTTTATATAAAACCCAACTTTTTTAATATATATCCGATAGCTCAATCTCCAACCCAATGGGATTAGAGAATGTATTTAACTCTATCAGTTTCCCATAAGGGACATAGAGCCCACTCACCGATATCTATTCTCTAGGTATTTATTGTTGGATATTGGTGAATAAATCGATACACAAAATATATATAAAATATATATTTGTCCCGAAAAATGGAATTTAATTTATAGAAAATTAATTTCAACCAATTTTGGTATGAAGCCAAAATTACATATATATCAGCGTATATATATTAACCAAATAGGGATTTATTTTATCAAAATAATCCCACCACAACTAGTACGAAACTAGTACACGGGACTTAATTTCCACGAAATTAATCCCACCACAACTAGTACGAAACTAGTACAAGGATTTAATCTATCCGAGATTAATCCCACCACTTGGTCCGAAACCAAGAACAAAAAAACAAGATACGGGTTTCTAACCTGAGGTTTTAACCCAACAAGAAAAAAGAAGAAGCAGAGGAAGCCCGAGTCGTGTGTACACACACTCTCCTTAAAACCGATTCGCCACCTCCCGAGGGTGCTAGGATCGTTGTGGCGTCAGTCTCCCAGGATAAAACGGACTACGACTTTGGCATTCGAGCACTCCAACCTAAAGCCCGACGAACTAGAACACAAGTTGAGCACTCCGATGTTTTACGGAATTATGTTGGCAAAACAATCTTTCTCTTTTGAAATCAGGGAGATTAGAGAGAAAAAAGCAATGGTGTTTTGAGTTTCAAAAATGGCGTAAAGCATTCTGCCAACATAACAAGCTATATGTAGTGAAAGGGAAATTTAGTAGCATTATAATGGTCATTAACCAACATAAATCCAAGATTTAATAATTGGATAATAACGTTTGAAACGGCCGTAATTATTATCGTAATAATTCCAACGGTCACGAACTTAATACGCGATTAATTAGTACCGATCACAACGACCCGTTTCAAAATATCTGAGTGACCGAGAAGTCCATACGAACCCGAAAGGTTAACGAATTGGGACTGAAAACCACACCCGAGTGGTCCACACGCACCGAAACGGTGCAGCACGAATCAATGCATATAGCATTGACTCGTGCTCAGCACGAAAGTAGCTCACGAAATGAGAGCACGAAAGGAGCTCACAACTCAAACTTTCAGCATGAAACTAAAGCTTATAATTAAGCTTTCAATTTTGCATGCACTTTCGTCCAACATGAAAGCATAGCACGAAAGGTGCTAAAATCCCAATTCACTAATTAAGCAACCAAAGCTTAATTACACTTAAGCTCTACAACTTTCGTGCAGTGCAACGAAAGTTATTAAAATGCTGATTCCTAATTAGCATTTAAACTTAAGTTTTTGACTTCTCTCAAATAGGTTCACTTTGAGAATCAATTTTTCATTCACCTATTACCCATTTTGAGCGTACATTATATCTAATTCTTCGTCTCACTACGAAGAACCCGAATCCACTTTAACCCAACCCAAATCAGAAGTGGACCCACATATATTTGTACCACAAAATAATCACTCAAAATGCCATTTTAGCTAAAAATTCCAACAATTATTTCGAAGGTAAATATAACGAAAGGTCATCAGACCTTATATATACAGCATAAACATACTTAACACAATTCAAGCTACTGAACACATCCGCAATCTGTATACAACATCCTCTCTCAATTTTCTGCCCCACTTCAAGATGTTTATCCTTGCCAGCCAAATATCTCTAATTAATACTAGACAGGCTCTTAGGCTACGCGTCGTGCGAGCATATCAAATTCCTGAGAGAAGTGATCCATCGAAAACTAGATCAAAAGAAATCGTATTTCATGATGAACAGGTAAGTGTTATTTATAAATAGATAGAGATTATGCAGTGAAGATTATTTTAAGACAAATATATTTTTACAAAAATCTTATTTTGTTTGTTATACATACACAGGGTACCTTCCTTCATGCTCATGTACCAAAAGAATATGTGGAAAAGTACCTTAGCTGTTTTGCTGAAGGTTCAGTTTATGCCATAAAAATTTTTTGTGTGATCACCAATTTTTACTCATACAAAACCAGCCCACAGAAGTACATGATAAAATTTAACTATCAGACTATGGTAAAGGATTTGAAGTCTGTGAAATTTCCTATGAAAATGTATCGTCTGAAGTCCTTTAAAGAGATCAAGTCTAATGAAGGCCTTGATGAGAAACACCTATTTGGTAATCATTGCTCTCATGCAATCTATGTCTTCTAAATAATTTAGATTATTTTATTATTTTATACACTAATGCATTTTTTTGTAGATGTTATTGGTCGAGTTATTGAAATACACTGCCCACAGGAGAAAGTAATTAATGGGAAGAACTCCAGGTTGATTGACTTCACCATTGAAGACACTGAGTACTCCTAATTATCAGTTCCTATCTATTTGAAGTAGATTTTTATGATTTCTGTAGTTCTAACAGATTATCTAACATTTTGTAGAGGAATACAACTGATGTGTACGTTGTGGGATGAACACGTAAGCAAGATTAATGCATTCTACAATTCTACTTCACAAGAGCCACTATTGGTGTTGATACAGTTTTGTAGGGCTAGGGTGTGTTTAAACAGTAAGTTTCTCAAAAATTTGAAACTGTGCCTAACATCATTTACCAAGTACATATCCACCATTTATGTATTTTCTGATGTGTGCTAACACTAATTTCTATAGGTGGGGATGTCAAGATTTGTAGCTCCTATGATGTCACCCAGCTTCTTTTCAACTAGGAATCTCCAGAGTTTGAGGAGTTCAGAAAAAGGTTAGCCAATGCTTATTCTTGCAATACCTATGTACATTGTTTACTAATTCTTATTTTATTTTTCATTTCACAGCATCAGCCATGAACAAACTCCAATGCGGAGTATTATTTCGCAATCAAGTTTTAAGGAATGTAGCTCCTATTCAGTTTCGCTATCTGGTGATATGGAACTTCGTACTATCAGTGAAATCTACAGAGACAAGGAGGTAATATCTAAGTCAATTATTAGCTTACCTCATAAATTAAAAAGAAACTATGAGTACTCTATAAGTTGGAGACACGTATGTTACGAGTATTACCTTAGTAGTAGTACCTTAATCTTCTCATGTATAATCATGTGTTATAGGAGTGCCAACTTCTGACCTTTGTAATCTGCATTTAATAATTAGGCATTATAATTTATAAAAATAAAGTAGCACATAACTGTACAGTCCTATATAACTATTTGAAAGCTAATAGACAAATAAATTGAAGTGTACAAGTGGGTGCTTATCTCATTAACTAAATAGAAATCCTCTAACTCTGTATAAGTTCTGTGGGTATGTTTGTGCAACCCATACTCTGTATTCATCTCAAACCTGCACAATGAATAGACTATTTGTTAGTTATATAATCATACTCTGGGTGCTTTTCTGTTAAACTAAACAGAAATCCTCTAACTCTGTATAAGGTCATAGGGTATGTCTGTGCAACTGATACTATGTATATCTCAAACCTGCACAATGAATAGAAGATTTGTTACTTATATAATCATAGAGATAGGGGGGAGGGGGGGGGGGGGGGGGGGCTCATAATGTACTCTGCTAATTGCCTAAAACTGTATGCAGTTTGGAGATTTTTGGGTTGCAGCAAGGATTGTATTCATTGATGACCCAGAGTGGTATTATGCTTCATGTCGAACCAAGGGTTGCAACAAAAAGTTGAAACTGAAAGGAAAGTGGCTGTGGTGTAGTACGTGTGACAGGAATTGGGGTGATGAAACCCTGAGGTACAGGGTTAAAGTTAGAGTAGTGGACTTGGATGGGAATGTTCCCTTCCTTCTATGGGACAGGGAGTGCCTCGAACTACTTGGTATTAGTGCAGATGATTGAAGGATACACATACCAAGGTACTAAATTCTAATGTAATTGTTAACTAATAGACCAATTTCTAACTTTCGTATGTATACAAACTTTATACTGAGATGAATTACCTGCAGGGTCGAAAGGGGGTACCTAAGGAGCTTGAAACTCTAATTGGATTGAATCTTCTCTTTCGAATTGCTATTCGCAAAGAACAGTTTCAAAACTATCTCAATGCTTTCCCTGTTATGAGGATCATTTCTGATGAAAAGATAGTAGAGAAGCATGCACCAGAGCTAATTCAAGTTAGGGACAGGGATCTCAGTTCAAAGTTGAAATTGGAGCTTACAGATGAGGATCTATGGGATCTAGAGGTATACTTGGGGATATTGGTGTCATATGATACCAATTAATTCATACCTATGTTTATTTAGTACTTACAGTTTCAACTTATGATTTTTTAGGACATTGACCAAGCCAATGAAGCTGAAAGTCCTCTCCAAGTTGTTGCACAGAGGCTGAATGCAGAGAACAATGTTGAGAATAGAACAGTAAAGAGGTCTCTAATTGATGAATTTTCCAGCACACAAAGTTCTAACAAAAGCAAGGAAGGTGTGGTCAAAATTGAGAATGAAGCAGCTGTGTAATGAGTGAAATGAGTGAGAGGGTGCTCTATTGGACTGTTAACTTTTTTTTTTTTTTCTGAATGTTTTTGTTGTTGAAAAACTTTTGGTGTCCCTAAAACAGCTAAACATACCCTTTTGGAAACTTGAGGGTGGATTTATGGATTTCTAAGTTGAATGTTATTTACAGTTCCATCCTTAAAACATGCTTTAAAATGGTATCCCTTTTGCAGAATGGTTTTTTTTTTCTTTGTTTTTTTTTAGGTACTAAAGCAGAAGATGATGGCAAATACAGCAGATCAAGATGCAGAGCACATGATGGAAAACAGACCATGCAAATAGTATATGTTAGCATAACTACACAGTTTTAATTGTACTTTGTATAGGTAAAATATTAGATGCAAGAATAATGTAAGCTAAATTACAGTGTTTACATAGAATTTTACCTTTTCTAGCTTGAATAATGTAACCATAGTATATATGTGATGTATCTAATTCTCCATTTTGTTGAATCAGTTGACACATAACACAAACATCAGAGAATAACAGGGAGTGATTAATAAGCTATCACTAAAAAGATTAGTTATCTCATTCTCCATTCTCCATTCTATCAATAACTCTAGAGTGATTACTAAACTATCACTAAAAAGATTACAATACTGTAGTATAAGTATTTAGGTCAAACAAATAGGCTTATCATGTGTATTTATAAATTATTATAGAGTAACTATAGGCTTAGTAAAAGAGATATCTCACCCTGTCAATGACTTATTGAAAACCACTTCTCCAGTTTGGTAACCAGTTTCACCAAAGCATTTTGGCTTCCAGATTGAACCATCCTAAAGCACAAATACAGAACCATTGAACCTTCCATGGTTTTTATACCAATGCTGATTTGAAGATAATCATTACTTGTGCAGCAGTAGACAGAACATTAGAATTGTAATTGATATAAGGGAGCAAAAGTATAAAGACACTAACTTATACATTAGAATGTAGACAGAAAAAAAATGTGGTTATGCATCAAGGTTCAAATTTAAATATTCATTTCTCGCATGGCTCATGGAATCTATGTAGAATCAAATAAAACAGTTGCAAATCTTTGTGAACTCCGCAAAACATTTATAAGTTTGATAAAGTAACAGACAGTTAATTCTACTTTAGAATGTAGACAGAAACACAAATTTGATTAGGCATCAAAGTTAAAATTGGGATCTTCATTTATCACATGAGCCATTTAATCAGTGCAAAATCAAATAAAACAGTTGCACATGTTTAGCTGTCAAATATGAAGAGTAAACTTGAAACTCTAAACATGAGAAGAGTAAGACTCGATTAAGTAATTCGAAAAGTCAATTAGTTTTCAAACGTACTAGATGAAATTAAAAAGACAAGCACAACTTCAGGTCAGTTCAGCAATCATAACATTTTGCAGATCATCTTGCTAACCTGCATGTTATATAGAGTCCATTAGAAACAATGAAATAATATAGCACGAGGAGGGAACTTATGTATATTGAAGTAGAGTGAGAGCTGATTGGGGACTTAAAACTTATCTTTGCTCATGAAAGTACCACTGAAAGTACCAATGTGCATAAACAGAGCTGATTAGGGACTTAAAACGTGTTGACACTAACTTATCAATTAGAGCTCTCTTCAAATTCTTTTTAACCATCATAGATTGTGTAGCAGCTTACCTGCAGTTTAGTCAACAACTCATAAGTGAAAATATGACTAGCAGGCAAATGATGCTTATAATTACCATCTTATTTAGAAACAATGAAAGAATAGTATTCTGGGTAAAACTTATGTATATTGAAGTAGAGTGAGAGCTGATTAGGTTCTTAAAACTTATCTTTGATCCGTGCGCTGCAACTGTAAGTACCAATGTGTTAAACACAGCTGATTAGGGACTTAAAACATGTGACACTAACTTATCAATTACAGCTCTCTTCAAATTCTTTTTAACCATCATAGATTGTATTTGCTTACCTGCAGTTTAGTACAACAACTCATAAGTGATAATAGGAATAGCAGGCAAATGATGCTTATATCGGAGACCAGTAAAGTACTTTCTTATTGCAAAGATCATTCTCAATTTTATTTTTTTTACCTTCAAATTATTGAGAACTCTTTACAAATTGAATCAAAATTTGTATGCATTACCAAATTCATACAATATTACTGATTCCTATATCATATGGTAAACAATTTCAACCTTTGCACGTCTAAACCACCGATTTCAAGTCCTGGCTACCTGGAAAACAACATAGTAGATAAATCAAAGAACTTATTATATTCCAGACAAATTTGAGAAATCCATATATTTATGAGAAGGAATTAGTAATATGCAAGGAACACGTATTTAGATGTCCCTATGCATTAAGTAGCACACCTAAAACTTATAGTATTCCAACAGCCATTATAATGACCACTTTCCAATTTTGTCTCCCAATCTTAAATGAGTACTTTACATCTATATAAGGGACACATAGATATTCTGAAGCTCTTTTAAGCACCACCTAAACAAGTTCTGAGTTAGCCCATTCATCTCCCTAAGACTACATGAGGAAACTTACATCTTCAACCACCATTGGTTCGAAGCGGAAGCATCCCAGCCACAACCAAGGTAAATCTATATACTGCTATTTTTATTATACTATTTTGTGTTAAAAAAGAGACCTATTATCCCGAATGAATTTTTTTTTTTTTTTTTTTGTTTTGTGTAAGAAAAAGCTAAAAACGAGTTCAAACCGTTGGAACAAAAATTAATAAACCTGTTAAGCATATATTAAAATTCATCCTATAGTTTTTATTCTTATCAAAATCCACATGCATGTGTTCTATATTAAATGAGTTCTAAAAATCTACACTAAGATGCCAGTTTAATTAAATTGAATATACCATACTTAGATCTGAAACACTAGAGATGTTAGGGTTAGAAATCCGTACCCAATTTGGTAGAAATTGTAGAGATGATCTGAAATCCACTGTGTATCTTCACACAAATTTCTTAGCACCAATCTTCGATCTCTGTCTACACATGGACTCCGGTGAAGTATAGTGTTCACCGGGTTCAACTGTAGATGACGAGAAACCCGGTGAAGACTCCAATTCGGGGCTTTGACTATGGATTCAACACCTCAGATTGGAAGTATTTTGTAGACCGGAGGGTCAGTTTATGCTTCAAAGTGTATCATCTTCATCGTGAATCCATAGGATAGAGTAGACGAGACTGACAAATCGAACCCTCTCACCGTAATCTCCTCCATTGTTAGTGAGAGAAACCATCGAGTGTTTGAGAGATGAGAGCGTACGAATGGAGCAGTCTAGGTGAGTAGGAAATGACGGCCAGCTGTGAACAGACTGATCTTCATCTTTCTCGCTTTAGGACATTCGATTTATTATTATTATTATTATTATTATTATTATTATTATTATTATTATTATTATTATAATAATTATTGTTAATTAATATTATTATTAACAATTACTATATTATTATTAATTTTTTTTATTATTATTATTATTATATTATTATTGTTATTATTATTACTAGTAAGATACTCATTATTATTTGTATTATTACACCTTGAAATATTATTATTAATATTTAAAGTATTATTAAAGTAGTATTATTATCGTTATTATCTCTAATTGAGAGAGTGCTATATGTAAATGTTATTATTATTATTATTATGATATTATGATATGATATTATGATATTATGATTAAATTATTAAAGTATTATTATTAGTATAAAATAATAATTGTGATTATATAATATAATGTAACATAAGTATTAACTATCTATTGTTGAATAATTAAAGTAGGTCTCGGTATGAGTAACAATATTTTATCTACCAAATTATGCCTGTATAGTGATATTATGTTTTTTTTTTTTTTTTGACAGAGAATGAAAATCGTACAGTCAATGACACGAGTTTAGTGTCGTCCATTGAACAAATCAAGAATACAGAAAATCGTTCACAGTTAATTGGTGTTTTCCAAAGTTCGCTTTGTACGCCTTTAAGTATTGTTTCTAATGGTAAGGGTTTTATATCTCACAATTCACTTCCTTAATGAATAGTTGATAATAATCTTTGCTATTGTAATTCACAGTTTCTTCTCTGGTACGAACGACAATACGGACTACCTCAACGCAAGATTTTAGTAGCAGAATACCATTAAGCAACATATCAAATAGTATGAAGCTCAACCAATATTGTAATAATATTAGTATAAATTTATATATAATAAAATGGAATACTTAATATTCTAACAAGTGTTTTGTACAATATTTATGTAATTAAAGCAAATTGCGCTAGAGTTAACGGGGACCGTGATAAACCACCTAGAACCAAGCGTCAGAATCGTTCGTTCGACTTAAATCGAACCCCAGATTCGCAACTAGGTATAAATTTAGAATTCAGCGAGGTCTTTATTAAATATTAAACTACAATGCTTAAGTAAATATTTTATAATCATATATTATAATGGGCTATTGTTTTTTTAGACTACGAAAGTAATTGTTATAATACAATTGACAAGAATCTGCAAAGAGTCACGGTAGAGACGGAGAGTGAACCCATCGAGCATTGTCGAAATTTGATGTCAGATTTTGATGACGTTGTTGAACCGTTACATGACCATATGCCCTCAAACAATGGTGAGTTCATATTAAATGTATTAGGACAAAAAGATATGGTCTTTGGACGACACTAAACTACATTATTATGTTAAATACAAACTAATAGTTATTTTTTTTTTAGATTATTATTTGATATCGGTGATCCAGATTATGTTTGCGAACATTGTAATTCATTTTTTTGGTACAATGAACCGGCAAGCAACTCAAGGTCATATAATTCTCCGAAATACTCTGCATGTTGTGTCAATGGTAAAATAAAGTTGTCATTCATGACAAAGCCTCCTCAAAAGTTGTATGATCTATTCTTTACCACAAGTGATAAAAACAAATGTTTTTTTAAAGAATATAAGGTCCTATAACAACATGTTTTGCTTCATGTCGATGGGTGGAAAAATTGATAGAGCTATCAACAACGGAACATCGCCGCCTATATTCCGTATAAATGGTCAAAATTTTCATCGCATTGGAAGTTTATTGCCTTCACTTGGCGTTCAACCTAAATTTGCCCAATTATACATTCACGATACAGAGAATGAGATAGAAAACCGCTTCAACTATTTGAGGTATAATATTTTGTGTTACTAAACTCTTTTAGCTATTTCATTGGTTAATAGGGAAATTCTTATATTATATATTCTTATTTTTTTAGGGCGGAAAACAATGGTTCTACATTGCATGTTGAGGTAGTTCATGACATTAAGCAAGTCCTAGATGACCACAATGTTTTGGTTAAGTCATTCCGAATGGCCAAGTCATTTATGGAATCTAATCCTCAAACTCAATTTCGAATGAGATTAATAGGAAAGAGGACTAAAGATGCCAGAACATATGCGCTACCAACTACTTCAGAGGTTGCTGCTCTCATTGTTGGAGATTTAGACCCTTCCATGGGTGAACGTGATATTGTTGTCGAGTCTAAATCTGGAGTACTGAAACGAATAAGTGAATTAAACCCAGCATATTTACCATTGCAATACCCAATCTTATTTCCATATGGAGAGGATGGTTTTAGGGAAGATATACATTTTGCAACACATGTTACTAAACAAAATTTTGCAAGAAAGAGTGTTTCTCAAAGAGAGTACTTCGTGTTCCGTATTCACGAAAGATCAAATGAGATCTCAACTATAATGTATGCTAAAAGGTTATTCCAACAATTCTTGGTTGATGCGTATACTATGGTTGAATCTTCGAGGTTGCTCTATATTAGGTCAAATCAAAAAGCTTTGAGGTGTGAGGCGTACAAAGGTCTCTCTGATGCATTGACGCGAGGTGAAGTTCAACCTAGCTCTCAAGGTAAAAGAATAATATTACCTTCAAGTTTCACGGGAGGAGCAAGATACATGATACAAAACTACCAAGACGCCATGGCAATTTGCAGATTTATAGGTTATCCAAATCTGTTCATTACTTTTACATGTAATCCTAAATGGCCTGAGATACAACGCTTTTTGGAGAAAAGAAATTTGAAACCTGAAGATCGACCAGACATTGTTTGCCGGGTTTTCAAGATGAAGCTAGATTCTTTAATAAAAGAACTTTAAAATGGGAAACTATTTGGTCGCGTAAGGGCATGTGCGTACCGTAATTCCTTTGCATTGACGTTTTTCATAAAATACTTATGCAACGAATCTTATAACTCATAGGAGCTAATAATTGTTTATTGACAGTGATATACACAATTGAGATTCAGAAATGGGGTCTTCTACATGCTCACATATTACTATTCCTACAAGGGACGAGCGACTTTTCCAACCCTGCTTTTATGGACACGATCATTTTAACCGAGATCCCAGATAATCAGTCAGATTATGAGTACTACAAAGCAATTGAAGAATTCATGGTGCACGGACCGTGTGGTGTTGCAAAGAGGAATTCCCCGTGCATGGTAAATGACAAGTGTTCGAAGCATTTTCCAAAAAGATACATTGATGCATCACATTTTGACCAAGATGGTTACCCATTGTATCGAAGAAGGGATGATAAGAGGACAATAACAAAAAATGGAATAGAGTTGGATAATAGGTATGTTGTACCACATAATCGGTACTTGCTCTTGAAATACAAAGCGCACATAAATGTAGAGTGGTGTAACCAATCCAGGTCAATCAAGTACCTATTCAAGTATGTCAACAAGGGCAACGACCGTGTAACTACTGAGTTTTATAAGACTACGATGGATGAAGCTGGTAATGAGATTGTTGATGAAATAAACATGTACTATGATTGTCGACACATCTCTGCATGCGAGGCAGCTTGGCGGTTGTTTAGTTTTGAAGTCCAATACAGAACTCCCCCGGTTGAGCAATTAAGCTTTCACTTGCCTGACTGCCAATCAGTTATTTTCCAAGATGATGATACGATTGATCATGTCCTCAATAGAGAGACGGTTGGGAAAAGTATGTTTAATGCATGGTTTGTAGCCAACCAAAAATTCAAAGAAGCGAGCTTACTTACTTACATTGAGATGCCTACCAAATTTGTGTGGAAAAAGGACATTCGTGAATGGCATACAAGAAAGAAGGGTTTCTCAATTGGTCGAATATTCTATGTACCACTAGCTTCAGGTGAAATATATTATTTGAGGTGTCTATTGAACATAGTCTGCGGTCCAAAAGGTTTCCAAGATATTAGGACAGTTAACGGTGTTGAGTACTTGACCTTTAGAGATGCATGTTATGCTCATGGATTGCTAGATGATGATAAAGAGTACGTTGATGCTATAAATGAAGCAAGCTACTGGTCAACTGCACATTCATTGAGGAAGCTATTTGTTGTTTTACTAACATCCACCTCAATTATTAGACCCGAAAATGTTTGGAATCAGTGTGGCAACATTTGTGTGAAGATGCTCAACACTATCTGTAACACCCCGTGTTACGGCCTCTAAAACCAATTAATTATTTAATCATTTACCCAAAAGAAAGAATTAAAATTCATTAATTAATTAGGAAAGGTCCACCATAGTCCATGGGCCCTTATCCCTAAAGCCAATCCCTTAGTCCTATAGGAAATAGAATTAGCAAAGCCACACCACTTAAACCCTAATTGGGACTCTTAGATATATAAATAGGGACATAGGAGGCACCTAGAACTCACACCACAATAACTTTCACCACACAAGAATTCCCCAAGAATTCCCATAGGAGAAATCAAGAAAGAAGAAATCTTAAAGAAAGACCCTTCATAGCCAAGGAAATTAATTAAGGCTAAGAGGTAACCCATGTCTCAACAAAACCTATTTTCCTTGCTATGATCTCCTTCTTTGGCTCCCTCTATATACTTGTGTCTTGATGAATTTCTTTATGATATTTGTGATATAATCTTGATTGATTGATGTGGTGATTTTATGAGGGATCTTGATGATCTTGATGTTAAAAAGAGATTCTTGATATTTATGTGATGATTCTTGATAAACCTTGATGGTTCTTGATAATGAAAATAAAATATGATTTTGATGATTTGGGTGGGATTAGAGCCCTAGGTTGGATTGGGAATTGGTATTGTGATGTTCTTGATTTATATTTGGGTGGGAATTTGCATGTTCGGGTGTTGTTCGTGTCTAGAAGTCATGTTAGGATGTGTTCAATATGATTCTTGCTTTCGATCCATTAAATGCCTATGTGGTGTCGTTAATTGCGTTTAAAAGTGTCTAAGCATGGTTTCGGGTTCCACGAAGGATCCCGGGACGCGTATTTGATAAATGAGTCAGTGGGGGGTAGGGGTACCCGCCACCTACCCACTGCCCAAAGTGAGACCGCCAGGCAGCGGGCAGCCGGCGGGCAGTCGTCTGCCCGCCGGGCACCCGCTGCCCGGAAGTTGTCGCCGGCAGGCAGCCCTCCACCCACCGGCTACCCGCTGGTTTGTCACCCACCCCGGGTCTTTGGCTTCCCCGTTTGATGTTCCCCATTCCCTGTGGTGTCCCAACGGACCCCATTTGTCGTGCTTGAGTCTAGTTTGATGTTTCGGGTACCGTTCGTAGGATAAAAGAGTCTAGGAATTGCATGCTAGTTGAATCGGTAACCCGTTAACTTAGGTGGAAGTCGTATGAACCCCTTAGGACTATTATTAGTATGTGAATGATCACACGTAAGCTTATTCATGTGTCTCCCCCTTCCCAATGTGCTATTATGTGCTATTATGTGTTATGTGATGCATGATTCCCCAATTTGGTTGCGATCAAATTGGCTATACGGGCAGTTGGATGGGTTGAGAACCATCCCAACTGTTAACCAGGCCGGTTGCGATCGGTCAGGTATATAAATATTATATAGGGCTGCGGTCCACTGTTTGGTTACTTATGAGCTGCGGTTCATTCTCCTGGCTGCGGTCAGTGATTCACTTCTTGGGCTGCGGTCCACATGGGCCTCGTGTGCTATGACCCACCGACCTGGATACGCCAGGCGGTGTGTAGGGCCAATAAGCCCGAGGAAGGCTGTAGTCCACCGACCTGAGTAATTAGGCGGTGTGTAGGGCTACGGCTGGCTGCGATCCACCGAGTGATGGGCCAGCGGTGTGTAGGGTCGTAGTCTTCGAGGATCATCGCCCACCGACTGAGTCCCTCAGCGGTGTGTAGGGCCTGACCCGCTACGATCCACCGACTGTGCCCGTCAACGGTGTGTAGGATCGTAGTCCCCCCTTGTAAAGAGGATCACAGTCCACCGACTGAGTGCGTCAGCGGTGTGTAGGACTGTGATTCGCCGCTGAGTTCGTCAGCGGTCTATAGGGTTAGTTGCGATCAACTCCCTTCATGCTGCGGTATGAGATAGGGTGCTGCGGGGCCGTGTTAGTGCTATATGCACTAACCCTCATGTTCGGGGCATGCGATTGGTCCCGTGGCGCCACCAAAGTGTGATTGTGTGACACAAATGATGATTGGATGATGATATGATTGATTTGAAAGTGATCTGTGACCTTAGTTGCGTATTCTTTATGATGGTTGTTTCTACTTAACTGTTATCGTTGATTATTGTGCTTGCCCCTATTTGCTGAGTCTATTCCTGGTTTTAAAGCTAGAGTCTCTTAAGTATATATCTTCCTGCCTCAAAATGGTTTTCATATATCTATATATATCTATCTATATTGTATTTCAACGCGTTGGAGTGGGTTACCAGCATCATTCGCTAAACAGATATATTTGGCTTTCAGGCACCGATGAGTAGACCCGGAGCGCGCTAGAGATCCGAAGCATAGATTAGTTAGTTTCCCTTCGGCCTGCGTGTCATGATTATGTATTGACATTTGTATTGAGGATTTTAGTTAGTTAGCCTGTGCATCCGAGCTCTCCAGCTCAGATGTGGCATAACACCCCGCACTCTTATGTTTGATTCTGGGATTTAATGAGAATTCACCTTTGTTATATAAGTTTTAAAAGTTTAAAAATTTCGGGGTGTTACACTATCAAAGAAGAATATTAAAACAACAAGGTATTGTAACTTTTTTATGATAGAATCCTATTTTCATCAATTTTCTTAGTTTATAATTATAACTATCGGTATGTTGGTATTGTAACAGATTTGGTCTTAACAGAAGAAGAGAAAAAGAACTTTGGATTGTTTGAATTTGAAAAATTTTTGGGGCTACAAAATAAGTCTTTAAAAGACTACCCTCCGATGCCAATACCAACTACTGATAATTCAAGGTTGTTTCAGAATCGTTTGGTTTTTGAAGAGTTATGTTACAATCGTGAACAGTTGAAGGAAGATGCTGAAGTGTTGTGTTCCAAACTAACTGAAAAGCAGAGTTTCATTTATGATACTATTATCCAAGACATTGCAGTCAATAAAGGTGGCTTATTTTTTGTTTATGTTTACGGTGGAACAGGAAAGACTTTCTTGTGGAGAGCGTTTTCAGCTGTAGTCCGATGCAAAGGTCAGATCGTTTTAAATGTCGCATCAAGTGGCATAGCTTCTTTGTTGTTACCAGGTGGCCGAACTGCACACTCAAGATTTGCAATACCTATTGCAATAAATGAAGACTCTACCTGTAACATTAAACAAGGTAGCGATTTGGCTGAATTGTTGATAAAGACGAGTTTAATAATTTGGGATGAAGCTCCCATGATGCACAAACATTGCTTTGATGCGTTAGATCGAACTATGCAGGATTTGTTGCGTTTTGTAGACCCTCATAGTTCAATGAAGACGTTTGGTGGTAAAACAGTTATTTTGGGTGGAGATTTTCGCCAAAATCTACCAGTAGTTCCAAAAGCTACACGGCAAGATATTGTTTCTTCAGCCATAAATTCATCATATCTATGGGATAGTTGCAAAGTTTTAAGGTTGACTAAAAACCTCAGACTAAGTTCGGTACCCAATGGTGGAAACCGGCAGGCATTACAAGAATTTGCTGATTGGATTGCTACTATCGGCGATGGAAAGATGGGTGGGCGGAATGATGGTTTCGCAGAGGTTGAAATACCAAAGCATATGTTACTGCCATCCGGAGGGGATGATATTAAAACAATTGTGCAAAGTACATTTCATATGTTTGTAAATGGAAACTCTGACCCCGAGCATCTTTTAGGTCGTGCTATATTAGCACCAACGCTAGATGTGATCAACACAGTCAATGAATATATGAGTGCGTTGCATACTGCCGAAAGCAGGTCATACTTTAGTTCCGACGCAGTATGCAAAGCTGATGGCGACAACGGTATATTTGGAGATGTACACACACCGGAATTTCTAAACGGCATTAGAGTTTCAGGTCTACCAAATCATACACCGACTTTGAAAATTGGTTCACCAGTCATGTTAATGAGAAATATTGACCATTCACTTGGTTTGTGCAATGGTACTCGGTTGATAATCACAAAGCTAGTAGACCATGTTATTGAAGGCGAGATACTGACTGGTCCTAACAAAGGTACAAAAGTGCTGATCCCCCGAATGTCAATGTCACCCTCTGATCCAAGATTGCCGTTCAAGTTTCAACGAAGGCAATTTCCATTGATGCTTCCATATGCAATGACCATAAACAAAAGTCAAGGACAAACGTTGACTCATGTTGGTTTAATACTAAAGAAACCGGTTTTTGTACATGGTCAGTTGTACGTAGCTGCATCTCGTGTTAACAATCCAGACGGTCTCAAAATATTGATAGTAAAAGACTCAAGTTCAACTACTACATCAACCACTAATGTTGTATATCATGAAGTTTTCAATAATTTGTAATTTTGTAAAGTTTTCTTTTTTTAGTACCATCACCTTGCAACTATTTGTAATATACCATTTTCATATTATTTTTGTTGAATTCCCAAACATATTTCATTTATATGTTATAAATTTTAACCGCATTAGTTCACACAATTTATAACATAACATACACACAATTAATACTTTTTAATTTACATACCGTGCAGCGCACGGGTCAATTACTAGTATATATAATATGGGATGCACTCAGGTGCCAATAAGTGCCCAGGAGGAAATATGCGAACGAATCAACTCGCAACACGTGTTCAGATCTAATATATTAAAAAAAACGCAGTGACATTTTCATAAATAATTGAACATCGAAGTGCAAGTAAAATCACTTACAAGTGCACCTACTTTCACCTATAAGTGCATGTAATTTTTTCTTGTTAACATTCACTTGCCGCAACCATTCATTCACCTAGGTGCACCTACTTATAACTATATGTGCAACTACTTATAACTACAGGTGCAACTACTTATAACTATAAGTGCATGTAATTTTGTCTTGTTAACATTCACTTGCCGCAACCATTCATTCACCTAGGTGCACCTACTTATAACTATATGTGCAACTACTTATAACTACAGATGCAACTACTTATAACTATAAGTGCATGTAATTTTGTCTTGTTAACATTCACTTGCCGCAACCATTCATTCACCTAGGTGCACCTACTTATAACTAGGTGCAATTACTTATAACTATAGATGCAACTACTTATAATTATAGGTGCAACTACTTATAACTATAGTTGCACTTCGTATTGATGCTCAGTGTAAATTTTACTTGCACCTATAATACATTTTACATGCACTTGTAATACATTTTACTTGCACTTCGATGTTCAATTATTTACGAAAATGCCACCGTGTTTTTTTTTAATATATTAGATCTGGACACGTGTCGCGTGCTGATTCGTTCGCATATTCCTTCCTGGGCGCTTCATTCGCACCTAAGTGCAATTTTATATAATATAATATAATAATAATAATAATGCATGCACTCATATTTATTTCTACATCTATCTACAATCTACAATCTACAATCTACATCTATATCTACATCTACAATTCTAATAAGAGCGAATAATGTTAGGCCCTTAACTGGAACAAAAAAAAAATATCGGTAATATTGTTTCTTAAAATGGATGGTTCATATTATTTTGATTTTAGTATTTTTAATGATTTTCCTTATTTACCCTCTATTATATTATTTTCTTTCATTTAATAACCTAAATTCCATTAGTATAAACTTTAGTAATGGAATATACCGTTAACTATTTATTATTTTAACTTACTCATTAATTTCTATAAGAAAGGTCTCAGGTTCGAACCACATTCCAATTAGAGTTGGTATAATTGTTAAACATATACTACAAAATGTAAAATGTATAGTATAAAATATACAAATACAAAACATTCAAAATATGTTAAAATATATTTTAAAAAATATATAATATAAAATTTAACATAAACTTTTTTCAAATAATTAGTTCGGCTAAATACAAAACATTCAAAATTAAGCATCAAAGATTATATATCAAGAAAACCAAAAGTAGTATTTATTTAGACTATCGTTTTTAGACTAAGTATTTAGACTAGCGTTATTACAAAGTTGCAAACATTTATTTTAGTGACAATAAAATCAATATCTCATATATTATCTTGCATTTATATACTTTAAATTACCGATTTAAATAAATAAATTTAATATTTATTTACCATCTCCTATATAATATTGCATTGATGAATCTCTCTATGATGTCACCAGTAACCTAATTGCACATGATACACTACCAATAAAAAGAAGTAAAAAAAAGAAATGACATGTACTGAAGACACTGCTACAGAAAACGACTTTAACGTCGGCTAAATAACCCCATTTAACGTCGGTTATCCTTCGACGTCGACTAAAGAGACGTTGTAAGAAAATAAACGACGTCGGTTGTTAACCGACGTCGTATAATTTTTTAAAATTAAAAAATAAATATACGACGTCGGCTAATAACCTATTAGCCGACGTCGTATAGTTTTTAAAAATAAAATAATATACATATGACGTCGGCTAATAGCCTATTAGCCGACGTCGTATATTTATTTTCTAATTTTAAAAAACATACGACGTCGGCTAATAGACTATTAGCCGACGTCGTATATTTATTTTTTAATTTAAAAAATTATACAATGTCGGCTAATAGGATATTACCCGACGTCGTATATATATATATATATATATATATATATATATATATATATATATATATATATATATATATATATATATATATTTATTTATTTATTTATTTATTTATTTATATTAAAAATGTTTTATGGTTTCTAGCCCAACCTACTGTATCAATTTTCAGAACCTGTGCAGCTAGCAATTTAACATTCAACATCAACTAATTCAAGCTACTAAACATGAAACTAATTAAGCTACTAAAAATAAAATTAATATAAATAACACAATGCAACAAAACTACTAATTAACATTAAACCAATAAACACAAACTAATTTTAAACGTAAAGTATCAATTGAACAACGTTTTATTAACCCATTCATCAATAAGAAACTTAGACCATTTGTTTCTAACGTCATCAATCTCTTGCTTGTTGTAGGGCAATCTTCCTTGTCTTTCCAAAATCTACAAAGTTCAAAAGAAATAAAAATAATAAATAAGCAAATATTTTAAACAGCATTTGAAGAAGAAATATGTATTATTAAATTACTTGCCTTATACATTCATTTGCTTAGGTTGTTGGAAACAATTTCCCACATGAATTTCATCACATAATAACCACATTCGGTGGTTCCTTTTTGTATAGCACACTACATTTGAATTACAATAAAATTATAAAAAAATTAATAAAAAACAATAAGTTTGCATGTTTTACAAAGTGAATGAAGTACTTACCAAACATCTAGTCCATTTCGGTGGACGATATTGTTTCTTTCCATTCATCATGCTTGTTGCAGCCATACACATATTCATATAAGACATAAAATATATGTAAATACTTGGCATCACTAGTTTAATAATAACTATTAATTCATTATATAAATTTACATACGTTTCCATTATATGTTTAATGTCTTCACGCGGCCCATGACCAAGTGAATCAAACCAAAAAATTTCATTTAATCTAGGACAAATCGCCATCAGCATCCAATGCTCACTACAAATAAGTAATTTATTAGTTATAAGTAAATATAATATATAATAAAAATATATTATATATATAAGCACTTTTATTTAAAACATAATTAATACTTACTTGAGAACGTATGGGGCTAAATATACATTTTTCTTCCCATACTGCATGGTGGCATTTATATATGATTTCCTTTCTTCTGTATTATTCATTTTTGGTTGAATCCAATATGGATCTAGGAAGCCATACGTGTCTTTTGATGCTAACTCAAAACTAATGTAAATACCCTTATTCACAAACACAACCAATTATATATAGATTACCAATTATATAAATATAAAACTATTATGCATAAATAATCATAAAGAACTTATTATTACCTTATAAAGAACTGAACTAGAGAAACATCGATAGTGTCCATAGTTAAGAAACGCATTATCTCCACACTTTCAAGGTGCAAGTCATACTCAATCTTGCCCATAATACCACGAGCCACATGGATCACAAGATTCTGTTCGAAACGGCGAGCTATTGTAAAAGCCTTTTTGCAATCATCAGTCAAAGAATCTGGAACAACACTACTGGTATTGTCTTTTAACTGTGTATTATAATACAAGTAAGAATTATTATTTTAAAAAGTAAATTACTTACTATTTTAAAATAGAAATATTATAAGTACATACCGCATTAGCTTCAGTACATAACTCTACCAACTTCTTTGGCCAAATGATAAAGTGTTGAATTGCATCACTTACAAGCTGAACCTCACTGGTGGGGAATGGTACATGTGCAGTTGGATCACTAACTTCATTTACACTCACTTTCACATTATTTACATCCAGTACAACCCCATGAACTTGTCCACCACGGTAAGCTGTCCCATATGCCACTGGACGTCTAATTGGATCTTCTAAGAACAATTGACATCGTGCCCCTAACTACATTAATTTTTAATTAAGAATCATATAAAATTTTATTGATAAATAATAATAAGATAACTATAAACGAATACTTACAGCCGGTAAATTACTAAAAGGGTCTGGGGAACTAGCTTTGTCACTTGGAGATGGTGGCACAACATCCACACATACGTCATTCACCTGCTTTGGTTGTACAAGAGTCTGCATAGCACTAAATTTCAACATCATACTAGCTATTTTTGCCTCAAATTGCTCAGTTAATCGTTGACCAAATTCCTCCCGTTTAGAAATATTTTTCTGCTTTTGTTTTTCTAACGCTAGTGCAACAGCAACATCAACCATTCATTGAACATCTTCAGGAGTCTTTTGGCGACGTTTTGCATGGCCAAATACACTTTTGATGCCATTTCCTCTTCGCATGGCTCTAACACATCCACAATGCTCATCGGTACCCAATGCAACAGTCAATGAATCCTTCCTTCCATCCTCAACAAATTCTCCTTGAGAAATTTGCAACTCAAGAGCATCCTAACCTATATAAAAATTATTCAATAATAATTACTATTACTGTAGTAAATGACAACATATTTACTTACAATTTTTTCCACTCTACGTATCGGACTTGTCCATTCTTGCTTTCTTCCATTTTTCGGCTCTACGTATCGGACTTGGAGGACTCATTGTATACGACGGATCTGCATCAGCACATGCTTGTTGTTCTTTCAACTTCTCATCCATCATCATCTTCTCCAACCTTTTATAACCTCCTCGAGCTAAGAGATGTGGATGAATATTCTTAGCTTGTATGTCTTGATATTTTTTCCTTGTTGCCTATATACATGATTCACCCGTATGCGACTGATAAAACTCATTCCATGTCTCTTGTTCAAGGAAGTCGTATGT